CTGAGCCACCCAGGCGCCCCTCTCCATCTTGCTTCTTTATTTGCATTATATCCTGGGGATCACTCCATAGGAATATAGAGATTCCCGGTTCCCTTTTTGACATCTATACTGGACTCCATTATGTGGCTTTCCCATAGTTTGGTCAGTCAGCTTCCCAGCGATGACATTTGGGTTGTTTCCAGCCTTTTACTATAATAAACATTTCTACAGTGAATAGCTTTGTGCATATATCTTTTCATATTTTTCACATTTCACTCTAGAATAGATTCGTAGAAAGGAGATTGCTGGATCAACGGATAAATGTATATATAATTTTCCTACTACTGCCAAATCCTTCCATTATTTTTAAGTTCTTTTAATTTAATTTTTTAAACAGGAAACGTATTTACATGATTCAAAAACCAATGAAAGTAAAAAGATAAACGTGTAGCACAAATCATCCCACTCCAGTTCCTTATCTGCCTGGTTCTGTCCCACCCACCCAACCCCGAAACTCTCCCCACTCCTGGTAACCACTGTTGTTAATGTCCTGCATATCCTTCCAGAATGTTCTATGTGAATCCGTACACATGCAAAGAGACAGGGAGAGAGGGAAAGACAAAAGGAGAAGGAAAGAGGGAATTTCCTCTACTTTTTTGTTAACTCCAGCAGCTAGCAGGCTGTGTATACCCCCCACCCTCTCATCCCCATAACACACTGCCTCCTCCAGAAACAAAAGGCACATCACTTCATCCCTCCTCCTGGCAGCCAGCAAGGCAGCCATCACTGTCCCCTATAATAGCCTGAGGCTCAGAGAGGCTGAGTGACTTTCCCAGGGTCACACAGCAAGGAGCAGAGCTGGGTTCTGTTCTTCTTCCTCTCCTCTGCTTTCCAAGGCAGAGTTGCCTGGCCCAGGAACCTCGATCTGGTGCTGCTCCTCAAGCCCACAGGCACCCGCATCCCCCAACCACGCTCACACCGGCCCAGTCTGCTTAGACTCTGAGACTGAGGGCCTGATAGAGTAAATCAGTGCTGAGCCTGGCTAACAAGAGCAGGCATGCAGACAGCAGAGAGAAGCTCCGATGCTCACCTAGCAGCTGTGTGTACCTCGGGGGGCAGAGGCCTTCATCCAGGATCTGCGGGGCAGAGGGGGGTCCACAGATCTGAAGCCAGCCCCTGGCAGGCCCATGTGCACCAACCAGGCTTCAACCTTTGTGGTCCTCCGTTCCCTTCCTGCAACAGCATAGGGCAGTGATGCCCACATCCAGTCCTCACTATGATCATGCAGTGGGACTGCTCAGCGACGGGCTCACCCCAGTGCCCGACGCAGAGTACGAGCGCATCAGACGGTAGCCCTGGGGTGCATTCACTCAAGCACAGATTCTATCCCAGGCCTGCCCAGAGCCCACCTCCTTTCAGGGAACGGAAGGTGCAGAAGGCAAGTCTGTAGTCTTCCTGGCCTGGGGGAGAAACCTCTGAACCCTAAGCTTCCTCCTCTTTAGACACAGCTAGAGAATGACAAGTGGATGACATCCCAGAGTAAATATTTTGAAGCCACCTCAATCCTGCTGCCATTGTAGGCTTGGAGCCATAAGACAAAGTCGTTATTCAGAAAACCACAGCCCTGTGCACTTCTGGGTCATTTTTTTTTTTTTAAGATTTTTTATTTATTTATTTGACAGAGAGAGACACAGTGAGAGAGGGAACACAAGAAGGGGGGGTGGGAGAGGGAGAAGTAGGCTTCCCGTGGAGCAGGGAGCCCGATGTGGGGCTCGATCCCAGGACCCTGGGACCATGACCTGAGCCAAAGGTAGACGCTTAACGACTGAGCCACCCAGGCACCCCTTCTGGGTCATTTTTGAAGCCAATTGCCAGTGATATTCTTTTAAGGCACCTGTAAAGATATTCTTTGTCCTTTATTCCTACAATAATAGTAGTGATTATAATTGGCCTAAACCCAATAAAATAATATTTACCCAGATTTTGCACTTCCTGGGAAACACACCACACAATTAATTCTATTGGCGTAATTAATTCAAATTTACATTAATTAAATTAAATTAAAACATTAAACTTGTTTCTTTATCTATTCCAAAGAAGTTCAGCAATTTAATTGCTCTGAAACAAGATAACCAAAATAAGGAGAATATTTAACATACTTATTAAATGCCACTTAGTATTTCTGATTAGTATTTTTAGGGTCTAATTAGTGTCTAATTAACTTGCTATAGGCTGTCTTTTCACAATACCAATTAAATCTCCAAACATCCTTTATAAACACACAGCTCCGAAAAGGAGAAGATGAAGCATTGTTATAGGGGCGAGTTAATCAGGAGACATCAGCATGGTATTGTTTTATATCTATAAATACCCGTACTTATTAAAACTCATCGAGTGTTGCTTTTCACCATTAATTGCTAGTTAATCAACTTCAAATGGACGAGGAAGTCTCTGAGACCAGCTGTCATTGTCGGAGACAGATGAAGGGCCCAGAAAACAGGAGTGTGGGGTGACAGATCTAGAGGCAAGGAGAGAAGGAAGGGCGTGGGTTACAGGTGCAGAGCGGAAGTCAGGAAAGCCCTGCTGCGTTTCCAGACGGGCTCTTCTCGCCGACACCCCGCCTCCAGGTTGGGTCTCAGACTGAAATCCCAGCTTGGAACAAGTTGAAAAATCTAGCGGGAGTGGCAGCTCTAAGGGGAAACTCCGAGGGAGACCCTGCCCGGCCCAGACAGAGAAAGCTGTAGGAGTCCCTCAGCTTCGCACTAGCTGTGTGGATAGTGGGAGTCGCTGAGCCTCTCCGAGCCTGGGTCCTCATCTGTAACACACAGGGCGGGCTCTGCGCTCAGAGGGACCCCCCCAGCCAGCACAACCACCACCACCCCGTTCCGTTCAATGCTCGGCTGCCGTCACCTTGCATTTCTTAAAAATTTTTGGACAAGGGGACCCTCCATTTTCATTTTGCACTGAACCTGCAAATTATGCAGCCAGTCTTGGTAGAAAACCTCCCTGGTGAGAGACCCCTCGTGGAGCACACTGAGCCCGGTGCCTCGCTCTCAGTGAGTTGCTCAATGAACAGCCAGCACACCAAAGGGAACGCCCAGAAGGACGGACGCTCGTGGCTTGGAGGTGTGCGCGCAGCCATCCCTTTCCTAGGAGGAGGGACCCTAGGGAGCTGGGCTCCTAGACGCTCTCTGTCCGTTGGCCCAGACTGTGGGAGAGCGCTCGGCCTCTTCTGGAACATTCTTGCTGCCCTGCCTGAATTGCTGGCCTCTCCCCAGCTGATTGCCTGGGAGCCAGAGCAGGAAGAGGAGGTTACCATGGTGACTGCCCGGCCCAACTTTCAAGACAGCATCCACGTGGGCTTCGTGTCCGGCCTGAAGAAGTTCACCGAGTACTTCACCTCCGTGCTGTGCTTCACCACTCCTGGCGATGGGCCTCGAAGCACCCCCCAGCTGGTGCGCACCCATGAGGATGGTAGGCACCACCCAGCCCCTGCCATCCCTGCCCCCACTCACCACCCACCCACCCAAGAGCCAGACTGAGCACTCCAGATATGGGGCGATCCCAGCCTTGTCTCCCATCCTGGGGTGCCCCTGGAGCACCGCGGGCTGTCTTGCAGACAGTGGTCTCTCTCTGGCTCTAACATGCATTGGGTGGGGTGGGGGCCCTTTTGGGGTACAGTGCCTGGTCCTGTGGGACACCTGAGCTTCAGTGAAATCCTGGACACCTCGCTGAAGGTCAGCTGGCAAGAGCCAGGAGAGAAGAATGGCATCCTCACAGGTAAGGGTGACGGGTGGGCGTTCCTGAGCCCGGGGGCGAGACAGGGTCGTCCAGTCCATCCTGTTGACTGATGTTCATCCAAAGCCTCCCAGCAGGCCACTCTTTCTTAGAACGTACTCAGAGGAGGTTCTCAGCCCCTCTGCTCTGTAGCACATCCCAGGTCCTCCGCCGCAGGCCTCAAGCACCCACCATTATGACTTGCTCCCTCCTACAGTCCCCTCCCAACAGGGGCATCCCACCCAAGTTATACCTGGGGCCCCAGGCACGAGGCTCCCAGCTCCCTCGGCCCCATTGCTCCCAACCCAGACTAGTGAAAAAGGGAGAAGCAGAACAGAAGGGCCAAAGCCAGCATTTGGTCACAGCTAAGCTCATGCACAACTGGGGGCTCCCCCCAGGGTACCGGATCTCCTGGGAGGAGTATAACCGAACCAACACCCGCGTGACCCACTACCTGCCCAACGTGACCCTGGAGTACCGCGTCACGGGCCTCACTGCGCTTACCACCTACACCATCGAGGTGGCCGCCATGACCGCCAAGGGCCAGGGCCAGGTGTCCGCGTCAACCATCTCTTCCGGCGTGCCTCCAGGTGGGTGCCCACTCGCAGGGCAAGACTCCTGGCCTCTTGTGGTCTTCCTCCTGACCAAGAAGCTTACCTTTTTCTCAGGAATACTGGCTTTCTTCCCCCCCGAGCTCTCCCCTGCCTTGGGTCCATGGTCCCTTGAACTTCCCCTAGAGCAGGCTTACGTCTCATAATCCCAGGTCTCTGTTTGGAGGCTCAGTGGACCCACTGCTGCCTCCTCCCATGGCTCTCAGAAAAGCAGAGTCCCCCAGACGACCCTCCCCCGCCCCCGTCTCATCCACCCCCATGCCACACCAGGTTCTGCATCGAGCAATAGTATCTCTGCTTCAGGGGAAGAATTCTCACTGTCTCCCAGAAAGTCCAAATGGGATTCCAGCCAGTGGAAGTGTTGGTTGGGAAAGGGTAGAATAAGGTGGGAATCATCTTAAATCTGGTATAAAGAGCAAGCTGAGACCTACTCTCAGCCCTGCTTCTGCCAAGCTCTGCGACCTCAAGCAAGTCAAGTGGCCCCTCTGTGCCTCAGTTTCCCCATCTGTATCTATGGGAGGTCGATTAGACAACCACATTGGTCCTGGCTGGGTCTGTAAGTCTGTGCTTACGGGACCCAGCTAGAATCCCTTGACCTGCGCCCCCCACTCTGCTCCGAGATGGCTGAGACACCCCAGCTGACTCAACCACAGCTGATAACACCAACACATATTTGTGCCTGAAGCTAAGTGCTGTATCTACATCAATTCAGTGAGTCTTCACGACGACCCTGAGGTCGGTGATACTACTGTCACCATTTGACCAAGGAGGACACTGTGGCACAGAAAGGTTAGGTGACTTGCCCACAGACACACAGCATGGAAACAGTGGGGGTAGATTCCAGCTCAAGACAGTCCGACTTCTAGACTCTATACTCTTTCTGTTCATCCTGAATCCCAAGGTTCCTGGTCAGAAATTAGGGGCTCCCTCCCCCCCACCCAGCTCTCCTTCTGGTCTTCCTCAGCCATGATTGGGTTTGGGAGGGCTGAAAGGGGCTATGTGTGTGGACGGAGAGGAAGATTCTTTTGGGAAGCCCTTGCATGCCCAGCCCCTGTTCCCTGTTCCAACCTCCCTGTGGCCCTGGGAGGCCCTCCCAGCCCCCGACCCTGCCCCTCAGGCCCCTGGTCTGGACACAGAGAGCTGTGGATGCAGGAAGAAGACTGAGTTGGAGGGCGGAAGCCTCAGCCCAGCCCCTCCTACCAAACTTCTAGAAGAGTGACATAGCCCCCCACCCAGAGGCCTAGTCTATGTGGAAGGACCTTGTCCTCAACGGATCTCCTCTCCCATCCTGTTTTCCAGAACTCCCAGGGGCCCCCACCAACCTGGGCATTTCCAACATCGGCCCCCGCTCCGTGACCTTGCAGTTCAGGCCAGGCTATGATGGGAAAACCTCCATCTCCCGCTGGCTGGTGGAGGCTCAGGTAAACCCTGCTGCCGGGGGGGCCCGCAGCCCATGCAGCCTGCTTCCTAGACGTGGGCGCAGGGCCACGCACTTGAGAGCGAACCATACGTGTGTTCACACCTGTGGGGATTTTCATATGCAACTGTCATGTGGCCAAATACCCCAAAATGCCCACCGTTCCCAGTTCTGCCTCCACTTCACCTGACCACTGTGTGCACACACATGCACACACACACACGTGCATGGACACACATATGCACGCGCACATGCATACACACATGCGTGAACACACATGTGCACATGCACACACGTGCGGAAACACACACACACAGCAGTCCCCGTGGGTCGGGCGGGGACTGGCCAGCCTGGAGAAATACACAGCTGCCGCCCACAGCCCCGAAAGTGGCGAGTCTGCTTTGGCTGCCCCCGGGGAGCGTCCATCAGTTTCAACACCTGGGCCACACCCCCAGAAATTCAGATTCTGATGAAGCTGGGGTTTGAGAAGCATGCCAGGGTGTTCAGAATCCCCTGGGGAGCTTGGTGAATAGCCAGATTCCCGGGTACCACCCCCAGGGATTCTGATGGGCTCGGTCTCGGGCAGGGCCCTGGCATGGGTTTCTAGCAAGCATTCCACCAGATTCTACGCAAGACGGCTCGGGGTCATGCTTGAAGTCATTTTCAGGGCCTGGAAAGGCGGTGACCCCATGTGGGGCTCTCCAGGTGAGCCCCAGGATGGAATCAAGACCTTCATGGGCAGGGCTTTACCCCTGAGAACCTGGGGCACAGGACATCTCAGCCCCACAAGCTGAGCGGGTCTAAGAGCGTCTCCCTTTTCCAGGTAGGCGTGGTTGGGGAGGGAGAGGAGTGGCTGCTGGTTCACCAGCTCACCAACGAGCCCGACGCCCGCTCCATGGAGGTGCCCGAGCTCAACCCCTTCACCTACTACAGGTAACAGGGCAGAATGCGGGGGCCTGCCCAGACCCGGACGGGCATTGGCCTGGGGTCCTGCCCTCATCACCTTGCTCACTCCCTTCCCCCACCCCAGCTTCCGAATGCGCCAAGTGAACATCGTGGGCACCAGCCCACCCAGCCAGCCTTCTAGAAAGATCCAGACCCTCCAGGCACCCCCTGACATGGCCCCTGCCAACGTGACCCTGCGCACAGCCAGTGAGACCAGCCTGTGGCTCCGCTGGATGGTGAGGCTCCCACGAGGGCAGTGGGGGTGGAATGGCTCCTTGGTCCTTGTCACCCTGCCACGGTCATTGCCTCCGAGAGGGCCACATCAAGGAGGGGGGTCACCAGAATACCCACAGCTCCCTTCTCTTTTCCTTACACGTAGCACCTTTAAGGTGCCTGATAATTCATCTTAGCCAAATGAACAAATGCCTTCTGCAAGAAGGAACTAGAAAACGCTGTTTAGTGAGCATTGCCAGGTGCCAAGCATTTTACATGTTTTCTTCCATTTAATCCTCCCGGTCATCCTGCAAAGGACACATTGCGACCCCAATTTACAGCTAAGGAAACTGAGGATCAGAGAAGTCAGGAACTCGCCCATGTCCACACAGCTCCCAAGTGGTGGGCATGGGGTTCAGATGTAAGTCATCCCTTGCACCAAGTCAGAGAGTGAAGGGTTGTTTCTGAGGTTGTGGGGCAGGTGCGGGAGACCACCCCTCCAGGTCAGGGTTGCATGTCAAGGGCCATTACCCCAGGTAAGGCCCAGAACCCTCTCCACAGGCTTGTGACAGCAGAGTGATCCTGATCCCTACTTTACAGATGGGGAAACTGAGGCAGAAAGCAGTCAAATCACTGGCCCAAATCCCACCCACCCGCCCCTGCCAACATCCTCTCCTATCCTCTAGTTAACAGCAGGGCTGGGTTTCCCAACCCGGGGAGTCTGTTCCCCCAGAATCCACAGCCCTAACCACGGAGCACACTGCAGCCCCATCTTCCGGGGATCAGGAGAAAATGTGTCTGCCTGATGCCGTTCCCCCCAGGACAGTGTTTTCCCGACTACTGCCCCACACAGCAGCCATCCAAGAGGAGCTAGGCGCATACAGGACTTCTGAGACAAACGAATGTGGGGGACAGCACCCCGCAGCCTGGCTCCTCTCCTTAGTGCTGGGAAGAGCCTGCCTGACCCCGCTTCACCGGCCGGTCTGGCCACGCGCGACTTGGTTTTGTTTCCACGTGAGACCTCTTACCACTTGCACAAAACACAATTTGCAAAACACCATGCTGTGGGATTGACTGGAAAGCCCTTTCCCCCTTTCATTTAGCTGGACGCCTGGTAGAAGGAGCTCATGGACATACGGTAGTTCGTGATTATGAGTCCCCTCCCAGGGGACCGGCACTGAGCAGAGCTGTCTTTCCGTCCAGCTCAGGGGCCCCACGCCCCACGGGCAGCCCCCCCCCCCCAGGGCGTGTGCAGCCCCAGTTACTGCTCGCTTGGCCCCTTCCTGCCTAAGCTCTGGCTCCCTCCGGGCCGGCTCCCTGCCTTCCTCCTGCAGCTCACTTTAAGGTTTCCAAACACTAAAAGACTAGAGACTGACTGATGCCCAGGGGGGCTGGAGGAGGAATAAAAAGGCAATTGATGCACCGCACAGGGCCCCAGGCACCTCCAGTCCCGCGTAATGGTGCACGGCCTGTTACCTTTCCCTAGCAGGTAAGGAAGCGTGCACTCCGGGCCCATTGATTAACTGTCTTAATGGTCTCTGGTCGGCTTCACTAAGTGTCTGAGCTAACAGGAGGCAGTGAGTATGCAGGGAGTGAGGCAGAGGCCGAGGAACGGGAGGAAGTGGGTCAGAACGTGAGGAGCCTGTGAACCGTGCCCGGGGACGCAGAACGGCAGGGAGGTGAGGGCCCAGGGCGCCTCTTCTTCGGAGAGAATCCTAAGGCGGAGTCCTCAGCTCACACCTACTCCGGATCACAGGTCCCCCCAGCGTGCACACACCCCCACTGCTTACCAACACTGCCCAGGTTCATCCAAACGACCTTGAGCCAGCAGCCACAGCCCCAGCCGCCTAGGAAAGGGATCTGTCTTTTCTCTTGGCTGAAACTCCCCAGAAGGAGGCGGCTGAACATGCGGCAGGAGAGATTCAGGCCTCCTGCTGGAAGGACTGCTGCCATGACTGGTACTCCCTCCATCCATGCCCGAGACACTTGCTTCTCCAAGGGCGGCGGGCGTGAGCTGGGAGCAGGCATGTTAGAGGCAATTAAGTAAGTGTGTGTTGGCAGCCTAAGCGAGGGAGTCAAGTGGTAGAGACAGCCGAGGCCAGGGGTGCTGTGCTCATCTGCCTGTTGGACAGACAGGTTTGTGGGTCTCCTCTCCAGTCGCAGTGCCCCGGCCGGGTACTGAGTTTGCCCTGTGTGCGAGAATGGATGCCATCTCTCCTGGGAGCTTGGCACAGACAGACAGGGAGATGGGGCGGTGGGGGGGAAGCCTCCAGAAACATAGACTCACACATTCTAAGCCCCACCTGGCGAGAGCACCTCACATGGGCACGGACAGCTTGGACGGTGGGTATGATAATCCTGTAGGGCTCCCTGGAAGAGGGTGCACAAGCCAGATAGTCCCCCGCACGGGGTGGGCCTGGCCTCACGGCCGCTCTGCCACCCCCACCTTCCTGCAGCCTCTCCCGGAGATGGAATACAACGGGAACCCCGAGTCGGTGGGCTACAAGATCAAATACAGCCGGGCAGACGGCCACGGCAAGACGCTGAGCCACGTGGTCCAGGACCGCGTGGAGCGTGAGTACACCATCGAAGACCTGGAGGAGTGGACAGAGTACCGCGTCCAGGTCCAGGCCTTCAATGCCATCGGGAGTGGGCCCTGGAGCCAGATGGTGACGGGCAGGACCCGGGAGTCAGGTACTGTGGCCCTTGTACCAGCCCCCCCCGGGCCCCGCAGCCTGTGGTGGGGACCCCCCCCCACCTTGGTCTCTCTGCCCTCACGGCCTTCCAAGGGTACAAAGGCTGGAGCCGTTGTTCAGAATAAGCCCAGACTCACTTTCCCGTTCATGCTCAACATCCCGGCAGAGTGCCCGACCTTGTTGCCGTGTCCCCCAGCGTATTCCCACTGCTCCCAAAATCGGGGGGTTGGGGGGATCCCCACCCCTGCAGGTTAGCCAGGAGGTCTTTCCCTGCAAACTGCCCATGTCTCTGTGCCCTCACCTTTAACCCTGACACCCAGTAGTACCAAAAAGAACCAGAGATGGGGAGATTGGATCAGCTCTCAGAACATTCCAGAAGCAGAACCAGCAGCTCACGGGACCCCGGCAAGGGGTCACCCACAGAACATGAGCCCCCAGCCTTCAGGCAGCCCTCGTGCATCCACATGTGGTTCACCACTCTGAGGCTTTTTCCTGGCCCCTTTTGAAGGACGTCCCCTCCCATCCCGGCCCCTCCCCAGCCCTCACTGCTGCGCAGACAGGAAAGGGGGGCTCATCCTCCCACTGGCCCAAGCAGAGGATAACGGGGAGGCTCCTCTGAAACCAGAAGCAGCATCTGTGATGTTCCAGAGCCACCAGGGATCACTGCAGGATAATCTGCTGATGGGAACAGGGTGTCACACCCCCTTCCTCTGTAGGGCCGACTGGGTCCTGAGCTCCTCCTCTCTGCTCCCTCTCCCCCTCAGTGCCGTCCTCTGGCCCCACCAACGTGTCTGCACTGGCCACGACCTCCAGCAGCATGCTAGTGCGCTGGGACGAGATCCCTGAGGCCGACCGCAATGGGCTCGTGCTGGGCTACAAGGTGAGTCCTGGCTCCAAGGTCGCCCGCGTCCCCATCCAAGGTGCCTTGTCCTCATGACCCCTGGGACCCACGTCTCCGCCTTCTGGAATGGATGCCCAGGAGCTCCCGGCGTCTCTGCTCTGGGTGGCACGGCAACCAAGGAGTCCTCCCTCAGGGCTGGAGGCTTCCAGGGGGGCCCAGGTCCTTGGGGAAGCCCCCAGGAGGCCCCACTGGCTGCCCCAGCCTCGCTCAGCCCACGGGCCCAGTTCCCATCATCTTCTAGAACTGCTCCCAAAGCTGCGCCTAACCGCAGGGTTCAGCCTTGGCCCACAGGTTGGGAGACGTGGCTTGATGTCCGTGCCCCCCCATTACTGGCTGTGTGACCTCGTGCCAGTCATGCCCCTTCTCTGGGCCTGTTTTCCTAGCTGAATGCTCTCTAAGGAACCTTCCAGCTCCCTGGCCCGGCGCATCTTTGTGTCCCCTGCTCTCCCAGAGCCCAAGCTCCACCGTATCCCATGCCCCTCGGGTTCACTTTGAGTAAAGCTCTGTGCAGGGAGCCACTCCAAGGAGCCCAGGGTCCAGCAGCTCTATCCCGCCTGCCTCGCTCCGGGGATGAGACGTGGGGACGGTGCTGGCACGCAGGACCTAGAGCCCAGGCCCTCACCCCCTGCACTGTGCTCTGGCAGGTGATGTATAAGGAGAAGGACTCGGATTCCCAGCCCCGGTTCTGGCTGGTGGAAGGGAACTCGTCACGCAGCGCCCAGCTCACAGGGTTGGGCAAATACGTGCTCTATGAGGTCCAGGTGCTAGCCTTCACGCGCATTGGGGATGGCAGCCCCAGCCACCCTCCCATCCTGGAGCGGACGCTGGATGATGGTGAGTTTGAATCCCTGCGTGCCTGGGGAGGCTGGGAGCTCCCCTCCCTCCTGCCTGCCCGGCCCTGCCCCTCTGGGCTCGCACTTTGCCCCAAAGGGAACTGTGGCGTCAGGCTTCTCCCGTGGGGGACAGGTCACCGAGGGCCACCAACCCACTGCGAGGGGATACACATCCCAGACTGTGCGTCCCTGAGGAAGAAGTGGAAGGCAAGGACAGTTTGACATCGGATTCAGTCTCTTGCACACTCTCTGGGACAAGCGCACGGAATAGAGACTTGGCACCCGTTTTGATTTGGGTTTTGCCTGGGGCAGGTGCACTTGGAGTAAAGGTCTGTGCAAGGAAGAGGCTTGCTTTTTCCTGGGCACGAGCCTCCTGGTCCCATTTGCAAAAGAGCGATGCCAGCAGGGCTCCAGGCATTCATCCCTGCAGCAGAACTTTCCGTCAAAGGCTGACCGACAGGTCCTTGGCTCCCTCCCCTCTCCCCACACACGTACTCTGACTGCCCACCACAAGCATTGCTGGGGTCCAGACAAGAGTGCAAAAGGAAGCGTAAACACCATGTGTCCACGTATTCTAAAGTTATAAATCAAGCTAATGATCTGTTAAATTCAGTATGTTTGACCCTCTTGCCTTGACCTGGAAGGCCAAGTTCAAGTCTAGAAATCTCAGACTTTGGGGGATTATCTGTTGGGATGAGGCAGCACGGGAAGTGTTGCCCGCCCCCAGCCATCCTCCCCTCTGCCCTGTTCCCTTCCCCTTCTCTCCCCTGACACATGGTACTCAGTCTCCGTCCACATACCCCAAACAGCTGCCCCCCCCACCCCCCGCCGCCCCGGCCATCCCTCAGTCCGGAGGTGCAAGTCTGGAGGGTGGGCCTGGGGAACGGGCCCATGCAGACCCTGGAAAAGGAGTGTTTCAGGCTCAGGGTGGGCCCTGTGGCCACCTCACCCTATGGGTGGAAGGAAGTCAGAGTGGTGCCTTCTAAAGCACAGACCCAGGACAAGGCCCCGTTGCCCAGTTCTGAGGGCAGCCCTGCATGTACGTATATGTGCACACGGACACGGACACTGAGCCAAAGGAACTGGAGCCTGGTCCCTTCTGGTTCCTGCCAAATAATGCCCTTTTTTGAGGACAGAAACCTCCCTGATAGCATCTTTGTGTCCCGTGTTGGATCGCAGCGTCAGGCACAGAGCCGCACTCCACAGATCACTGAGCTCAGTGTGCCCTTCCCCCGCAGCCTGCCCACGTGCTCTCCCGGAGCCAGACCTGGGTGGGGCTGGGGCTGAGCAGTAGCTGGGCGGCCACCTGCTTCTCCTTTGTCCCCTGCAGTCCCGGGGCCGCCCATGGGCATCCTGTTCCCAGAGGTGAGGACCACGTCCGTGCGACTGATCTGGCAGCCCCCCACCGCCCCCAACGGCATCATTCTTGGTAAGCCTCTACCCTCTCCGGTGCCCGGAGGCTGCAGGTAGGAGGAGGAGGCCAGAGGGAGACTGGGCCCAGGAAGTGTCCACATCTCCTCAAGAAGCACCATTTCACATTCAAGGATCCTCCCCTAACACACGCATAGACACGCACGCACACACGCAGCCCCTCGGGGGAAGGCTCACGGGGTTGAACTGGAGCAAGCGGGCTCTCTCTCAGCCTCAGCCCCCTCACCCGCGAAACCGTGGCGGGCACTCCCTGTGCCTAGTGCGGGCTCTCAGAGCTGGCAGCCCGCAGTGCCTGCCCCAGAGGAAGGCCGCTCCTCAGAAGGCAGAGTGGAGGCCGGGAGGGGCCGGCGCCTTGGACTTAGACAGACGGGCTGGGATTCCAGCTCAGGCACTTCCTAGCAGGTGCTCTGGCCCCTCTGAGCCCCTGTCCCCCTCACCTGAGGCTGCCATGGGGGTCACGGACTCTGTGACCCCCACGGAGGGAGTGCCCCCCACAGCCACACTCCCCACGTGGCAGCTGAGGACACAAGAATGACCAAGAGGGCTGCAAGCTGACGAGCCACAGCCAGGGGAGCTCAAGTGCAGACACTGCGGTGGCCCGGGAAGGACTCGACCCTTTCCCCGGGCACCGAGGGCAACTGCCCTGCCCCCCAGCACAGCCCATGCCCTTCCTTCCCGCAGCCTACCAGGTCACACACCGGCTCAACGCCACCACGGCCACCACGGCCACTGTGGAGGTGCTAACACCCAGCACCCGCCAGTACACCGTGACCGGCCTCAAGCCGGAGTCCGTCTACCTGTTCCGCATCACGGCCCAGACCCGCAAGGGCTGGGGAGAGGCCGCCGAGGCCTTGGTGGTGACCACCGAGAAGAGAGGTGACTGCCCGCTGGGGCTGGGGAGGCCTGGGGGCAGCCGAGGCGGGGGCGGGGGTCCCGGCCAACGCAGGTGCCCCCACCCTGACCTCGCGGGTGCCTGGGAATCAGCCAGTCAAGAGCCGCGTTGCCCTGACCTGGAGTGGCAGGTGGGCTGAGATCCCTGGGGTCAGGGTCAGCAAGGGCTCTAGTGGACTTCCAGAAGCTGGGCTGCGAGTCCCCCTCCCAAGGAGCCTGCTTTGCCGCAGCTACTGGTTTTCCGAAGAGGGAGGGTTGGTGAGACCAGCTTCCTTCCCTTCTCCCCTGCCCTCAGTGAAGATGGTGTCCGGTTGGGTGGCGGGTGGGGCTGCAGCGTGGAGCCCCGGGTGCCATGGGCCTGTGGCCCTGAGCCGGTGACTCACCGGAGGTCGGGCTCCCCTGAAGCAGGCTGACACCCCGATTCCTATGAAAGTGGTTCGTTAGACAGTGTTCCCAGGAAAAACCAGTAGGACAGCGGTTCTCAACCGGGAGCTGCTTCGCCCCCCGGGGAACATTGGGCAGCGTCTGGAGACATTTGAGTTGTCGCAACTAGGAGGGAGCTATGACTGGCATCTAGGGGGTGGAGGCCAGGATGCTGCTAACACCCTGCAGCACGTAGGACGGCCCCATAACACGGAATCGGCCGCCCCACGTGCCAGAGTGCTGAGGCTGAGAACTCCTGCAGGAGGGCCTGGGGCAGCGAGAAGGAGGCCAGGCGTGGGCAGGGCATCCGGCAGAGCCCCACCGAGGGAAGCGTGGGCTCCATCCCACTCAAGCAGGGACGGCGCAGGCCCCATCTCAGCGCTGGGGCAGGCGGGGGACAAAGGAGCCGGGCGTTCGGACCTCCTCCCTGCCAGTCCCTGGTCGGGCTGCCCGCGGGAGATCTAAGTTCCCAGGCACCTGGGCCTCTAATGGCCTGAGCACAGGTCGTGGACCAGGAGCCACGGAGCCACGGGTGCTCGCTGTCGGGACCTGTGTGCACAGAAAGGGGAGGGGGCCGCGGGCATCAGGCCTGAGCCCAGAGCATCTCCTTCTCTTCCTTGAAAAAGCTCACCCCCACCCCCTTCCCGGCTGACTTCCCTGCTCCTGTCCCCCTCCGCCACCTCCCAGACCGCCCCCAGCCCCCCAGCAAGCCGGTGGTGCAGCAGGAGGACGTGAAGGCTCGCAGCGTGCTGCTGTGTTGGGAGCCGGGAAGCGATGGCCTGTCCCCCGTGCGCTACTACACCGTCCAGACCCGCGAGCTGCCCAGCGGCCGGTGGGCACTGCACTCAGCCTCCGTGAGCCACAACACGTCTGCCTTCGTGGTGGACAGGTGAGGCCCGGGTGGTGGACAGGTGAGGCCCGGGCCGCCAGCAGCTCCGCCCCAGCCCTGCCAGCCCAGGCAGCACCAGTGGGGCTCCCGGTGGGGGGGGCCGGGGCCGGGGCCGGGGGGCGCGGGGGGCTCTGGAGCACGCTCCTGGAGCCTGCCCACCCCCGGACCCCCGCTTCCGGCTCTGTCCTAACCTCCCTCCCTGCTCTCCGGAGCCCTGTGAGGGCTGCCTCTTGATTATCTATTTCTGGAGCCTGGAAGCCCCCGCAGCGAGGCGCTTGCCTTTCCTTACTAGCAGTCCCTCCCAGCCAGACAGCATCTTCCTCTCCGTCTGGAACAGGGGAGCGGAGCTTGCTCCGAAATTCTGGCTTCAGTTTAATTCCTAGAGGGTCATCTTTTTTTATATTCCGGTTGACGTGACCGAGAGTTTTGAGTAATACTTTCCTCCTCACCCCCCACCCCCAACAAATCAAAAGGGAAGACGTTTGCCTGGAGAGGAACAAGGCTTATAGAGGTGAAGTGGTGGTTAACTCTTGAGAACCGTGACCCCTCCTAAGTTTACGAAATTCTAGAAAGGGGTGGCATTTCTGGGGGGAGGAGTTTGCTCAGAGGGAGAGTTATCCGTGCTCTCATAGCGGCTCGCCCCTGTGAGGCGGGAGACCTGTAGACAGGGCCACCTGGGGGCTGAAGGTGGGGCCACACCCAGACAGGCATCAGGACCCGGAGGGCCTGGGCCCCGTGTGCCCTCTGGAACATACCTTGTTGAGCCTTGGTGTTCCCATCTGTGTGACGGGTCAGCACGCTCTGCCCCCACCTTTCCCAAGCAGAGGTGGTGGGGTGAGGCATTAGGGGATACCCCTGCTCATTGAACCCGATCGTGCCCATAGGCTCAAGCCCTTCACGTCCTACAAGTTCCGCGTGAAGGCGACCAATGACATTGGGGACAGCGAGTTCAGCGAGGAGTCAGAGCCACTGACCACTCTGCAGGCCGGTCAGTGCTGCCCTCCCACTCGGATCTTTCTCTTGGCCCACTGGCGCTTCCTGGGCACTGGGCGTTCTCTTCGGAGGGGAGGGGCCCCCAAAGGTGGGAGGGGCAGAGGGCCCGCCGGGCCCTGTGTCTGGCTCCCTGGGCAGAGTCCCAAGGAGGTTTGGGCCAGAGGGGCCTTTGCCATGATTCGGGCACCGATGCCAAGCCCGGCATCCCAGTGTGTTCCTTCTCTGCTGTCCCCAAGCTCATGACGAACCCCAGAAAACCAGTGAAAGGGCGTGTGGGGGGGCCTCAGCAGCAGCAACATCAAAAACCTGGGGCTCCAGGGACAAAGAGGAGGGGGGCTCTGGGCTCTTGGGTGCAGACTGGGGTCAGGGCTCCGGGCCCCCTCCCTCCACACTTGCAGAAGAATCTGCTCCCTGTGGCCTGCCAGGGGGCCTAAGGCCCAGTCCCCAGAGCTCACCTGTCTGTCCTCTCCCCAGCACCCGACGAAGCACCCACCATTGTGTCGGTGACACCCCACACCACCACCTCCGTGCTGATTCGATGGCAGGTACGGGCCAGCAGCCAGCAGGCGGGGAGGGGCCCATGTCCCAGGAGGACTTAGACACACCCTGTGCAGGGACCAGGAAGGCGACAGCCCCCAGCAAGGTTGGAACATCATACACACATGCCCTCACTCTGCTCTCCAGATAATCCCCTCGGGCAGGCGCTGTTCCAATCCCCTCCTGCAGACGAGAACCCAGTCCTCAGGGAAGTGACATGAACGGGCCTGGTTACACAGCTAGTAAGTGGCAGGGTCAGGCTTAGTGCCCTCCGAGCTGCCAATCCTGGGACAGAAAAGTGCGTGGGGCTTTCAGGGCCCCCTGAGTCCCCATGAATCCTGGCCCACCATCAGTGAAGGGATTCCTGATCAAACCAAACACAGGTGTACATACCTGGCCGGAACCCCAAGTGGGGACCCATGGTCCGGGGACGGAGAACCCCCTTCCTCTGCACACCCCACCCCCTCCCCCCGTTGCCTGCTCTCTGGTGGGCACTTTTTTTTTTAAGATTTTATTTCTTTATTTATTTGAGAGAGAGAGCCAGCACAAGCAGGGGAGAGGGGCAGAGGGAGAGGGAGAAGCAGGCTCCCCGCTGAGCAGGGAGCCTGATGCGGGGCTTGATCCCAGGACCCTGGGATCCTGACCCTAAGCCGAAGGCAGATGCTTAACTGACTGAGCTCCCCAAGCGTCCCTTGGTGGGCACTGTTGTCCTGCCATGGTCTGAGGAAGACCACCAGACGCATCTGAGACCAGGCTGCCGGTCTCTGCCTGCGGGACCCTCCTGTACGCTCTCAAGTCCAGCCTCTGGACTCGGCAGGTCACCCACACGGGCCCCAAAGCAGCAAACCCTTGTCTCGCTTTTTGGCATCAGAGGGGCGGGCATTTGTCCACCACAGCATCCCCAACGGGAGACCCCTTAAGAGGAAACAGGAAGGGGCCCCGCAGCCCCTCCCCAACCCGAGGCCGCACTGCAACAGGACCCTCCCTGGAGTGAAAGTGACCTTGTGCAGCCCGAAGCCAGGACCAGGCCGGCAGAGCCCCGGGCCATCCTGGCGAAGGGGCAGGGAGGTGTCAGTAGCCAGGGAGACAGTGAAGGATCTAATAAAAGGGTGAAGCACTTCAGCGGGATTTTAAAAAGAGGTATCCTAAAAAGTAGTTTTCACCTTCCCCTAAAGCCTGTTCTCCCACTGGGCTGTGGATGGGAGCAGAAAGCGAAGAAGTAGTAAAAGGCAGAGCAGGGGCAGTGCATTCAGGGATAGGGAACGGCCTCGCAGGAACCCCAGGAGATGCTGGTCAGGTGGGAGGTGGCGGGATCACCAGGCCCAGGGAGGCTGGTGCTGTGTGAAGGTATCCCTGGGCAAGGAATGGTCTAGGAGGAGAGCCCAATGGTGCTGTGTGCCCTTGGGCATATGCCTTACCCTCTCTGAGCCTCACCTTCCTGCTCTGGGAATGGGAATGGCATGGAGATTCCAGTCCTTCCCTGCCCCACAGAGAATGTTGCAGAGCTGAAATAACTTCACTGGATGTGCTTCTTAAGTTAAAAATGCTCAGTGTCATTTTGATTTCTTTCCCTGGTGGATGCTCAGGCTCTGCCCTATGGTCACAGGAGGCAGGATGGGGAGGGAGGAAGGGAGAGGGGCGGAGTGGAAGCGGGTGAGCCTCGGGGTTTCCTGCCCCTCCCCATTCTCCACTCCCTTCCCTGCAGCCACCGGCAGAGGACAAGATCAACGGCATCCTCCTGGGCTTCCGGATCCGGTACCGGGAGCTGCTCTACGAGGGGCTGAGGGGCTTCACACTGCGTGGCATCAACAACCCGGGGGCCAAGTGGGCTGAGCTTACCTGTGAGTGGCATCCACAGGGGTCAGGGGACAGTGGGGCCAGGGACACTCCCCTCCCTGCCTGGGAGCTCTCAGCTTCCTGGAGGCACCCTGACCTGAAACCCGCCGCCCTCTCCTGAGTGCACCTCTCCCGAGTGCACCCCTCCCCGCCACCCCCGTCCCATTCAGTCACTGGGTGTTTATTGAGCACCTTCTGCATGCCCTCGGACACTGGAGGCACACCAGTGAACAAGACAGACGGCCCCTGCCCTCTCAGAGCTTGTGGGCTCAAGGAGGAGCCTGCACTCAAGAAGTAAACTAACAATAAATGTCTAAGACAGTTGGCATGACGGCCTTGGGGGCCTTTTCCAGGGGAGTCAGTGTCAGGGAAGGCCTCCCTGAAGATGGCCTTGGCAATGACCCTGATGGATGATCCCAAGTCAACCCATTCAAAGCTAAGGGGAAAGCCCAGCAAAAGGCCTGAGGTGGAAAGGGCCAAGAGTCAAGCCTGCTCACCCCAATAACCTGCTGGTTGGAGGTCACTGTTCTGTCCCAGGGTCCTCGGAATCTGGCCTGCCTGTGGTGGTGGGAAGGAAAGAGCCAGGAGCCTGGTGGGAATCCCAGGGAGAGTCACAGCCAAGGAGGATGACGTGCTTGCCCTTTGGGGCAGGAGGGCGATGGCTGGCGGGGGAGGACCAGAGGCAGGGGTTCCAGTTAGAGGCTCCTGCGGTCACCGAAAGCAGGCGGCTGGGGCCAAGGCGGCGGCTCGGGTTGGACTTGCGGGCCAGGATGGCAGAGGCTGTGGGCTCCGTGACCAGCTCACGGAGGGGCGGGGAGTGGGCAGGAGAGAGGAGCCCAGGGACCTGGGGTCCCCGGGTGGGTGGGAGACGAAGAGCATGCAAAGTGCTGTCCCGTAATTCTCCTAAGGCTTTCGTGCCTTGGCTTCTAACGAATACTAGCAGACAACAAAATGAGTGAACGCAGAGCAAGGGAATATTCACAGAACAACTCAGATGTAGCTGATCCAGCAGCTTACACTATTTTTTTTTATTTTTTGGCAGACATGTGCTTGTGGTTGTGATTTTATCTGCCTCTGGATAATGCTGGCCTATTTCCTGGAAGTAAAAGGGTTTCTTTTAAGAGGGGAAAATTAACACCCCACAGTTTCAGGATGGTTCTATCGAAGTCCCAGCTCAGACGAGGGAGCGACTGGGGACCGAGGGTCCCCCAGAGCTGCCCTCAGGGGTGCTGGGCTCCAGGGGGCTCACGGTGCCCTGTGTCCCCCCGGCCTCATGGGCACCCTCTCTCACTCCCGCCCGGGACCCCTAACTCAGCGTCGGACACCCGGACACCCCTTCTGTCTGCATGTGCACTGCCAGGCCCCTCCCCCGTCCCGCCCCTCTCCTCGGGGTCCCAGCGGAGCAGGGTGTGTGTGTACTAACCTCCTCTGTCTGCTGTCTCCCTCTGGCCCCCTCGGCCTCCCGCCCCGTAGCCATGTACTCCATGCGGAACCTGAGCCGGCCCAGCCTCACCCAGTACGAGCTGGACAGTAAGTCTCCCTGCATGGCGGCTCCCGAGTCGGGCCCAGGCCTTCCACAGGGATGGGGAGTGTGGGGCCTCTGAGGACACCGGAGTCCGGGCTGAGGGGCGTGCCCGCCTCAGGCCACTTGAAGAATGGGATCGCCCAAAGCACACGTGACTTTCTGGAAACACACAGAAATGTAGAGGGTGACCAGGGAAGCGTGCATCCATCGGGGACAGAACGGAAGAGGGAGCAGCTCCGGTCTTGTGCTCTGTGGGGTGGCTGGGGGGATGACAGGAGGTCCGTGGGAGGAGCTCTGGGTCTGCTGCTTGGAAGGGCAGGCGTCCACGACACTGCCACCCACCTCGTCCCGTTGAAGGCACTTTTCTGCATGGCTCTGTCTTCCAGGCCAACCCCCACCTCCAGAGTGAGCAGGACCCTCTCTGTCCCCCCAGGGACCTGGGAATGTTCCTGATGGGTGCCTGGCCCAAGTCTCGCTCTCCTTCTAAAGTCTGTGGTTCTCCCTAAGGCCCAGAGCTTGGGCAAAGGGGCCCCATTCTCTGTACGAAGCAGAAGCAAAGTGTGAGACTATGTTGTCCTTCTCCTTCCTTCATCGGCCAGTGGCCCACACGGTCTGTGTGGCCGGTTAAATGAGGGTGACTCCCCCACCCACATTCCAGCTGAGTGGCAGAACTCCCCCCGAGGAAGGGGAGACGGGCAGGGTGCCCAGGGAGAACGGTGGGAGAACCTTCTAGCCTCCCCCGACCAAGCAGGGATGGCAACTCCCATCCAAGGTTTCGCGGCCCATTTTCCTGCAACTGCCCTTTGTCTCTCAGCTTCTGTCCAGGTATCTCCACCCAGGACCCCCAAACTTGGCAAAAACATAGCGTTTCTTAGCCCAGAATTCACATCCAATAAGCCCCTTCCCTGAGGGGTGAGCCCCCTGTGTGAAGAGCTGGTTGATGGGGCCTGGGCAGCTGGGAACTTCAAGCATCTGCCATGGTGGGGACAGGGTGACCCGTGCGTGACCCGTGTGCCCGGGAGGACAATATTGGTTCGCACTAGCTGTCCCTGCATAAATATGCATAGTGTCTCTTTCAGTTTCCAAAGTGTCTAGTATGCTCTCCCTTGGCCGGGAAGCCAACCACAGGCGTCCTGTGTCCCGATTCCCGGCCACCCCACTCCTTACCTCTTCTTTCCTGAACTTCTGGCAGGAACTAGAATCCCGGGCGCATCATCACAGCCTCCGCCCCCCATGCTGGTTCTGCCCCTGCAGGCCAGTGACCTCTCTGTGCCCCCCCTCCCCCAGATCTGAACAAACACCGGCGGTATGAGATACGGATGAGCGTGTACAACGCCGTGGGGGAGGGGCCCTCAAGCCCCCCCCAGGAAGTCTTCGTCGGGGAAGCAGGTGAGCCTGCCCGCCCTTGCAGCCTCAGCCTTCCCCACCCCAGAAGTCCAGCTAGAGGACATACGGGATTCGGGGCCCCACACCATCCCAGCCCACCTCCTCCTCCCTGAAGCCCACTTGTGCCCCTCACTCACGACCTCTCACGCCCTCCAGTGCCCACCGCAACGCCCCGTAACGTGGCTGTCCATGGCGCCACGGCCACACAGCTTGATGTGACCTGGGAGCCACCACCACTGGAGAGTCAGAACGGAGACATCCAGGGCTACAAGGTATGGGGCGCTCCGGCAGAGAAGAGGGTCCGGGGGTCAAAGGGCCAGCTTGGGGGTGGGAGTGACCCCTGGGTGGTAGGAGGGAGAGGTTGGCAGGTCTACACCTGCTCCCTCGGCTGCTTGCACCCAATCCATCGGAATATTGTGCAGTGATACAAAACTACACCTGTCCTCTGCAGCATCCTAGCCAGGCTGAGCTCAGATGCAAGAAGCTCAGGCCTTGCTTCAGGCAAAACCCTCCACCCCAGTCCCCCAGCTCCCAGTGCCAGCAAAAGACCCCTCGAAGTGGTCATTTGACCAACTCTAATTACACTGTTGATTTGGCCAAGCGGCAAAGGACCCCTGGCTAAGGATGTGGACATCTCTGTTTAAAATTATTTCCAGATCTTAGAGGATCTCACATGTTTGAACAGAATTCAGTTCATCTCCAGTATTCTCACAGTCCTGTAGAACTCCTTCATGCTCTTGAATGCTCTGTGAAGCGGGCAGATTAGAAACGTTTGCACCCATTGTACAGATGAGGAAACCAAGACCCGGTTTAGGTGGTCTGGCAAGATCACAAAGGTAGCAGAGCGTCGGACGCCAGGTCTGCTAGCCCTCACCCTGTGCAGGGCAGGGGGGAGGCACGGAACACAATCCCCAGAGGAGGTGGTAGACAGAACAGTAATACTGAGTCTCCTTGGTCGGAGCCGTTGGCTGTGGGGGGTTGTTATTCCAGAGAGAAGCCCAGCACAGTGAGGGGGTAGGGAGTGTGAGACCCCTGCGGGGCCTCGTGGTTTACCTGCCTCAGCCCCCTCATTCCACAGGCAGAAACCGAGTTCCCACAAAAGCCAGGGGCTTGCCGGGGTCACATAGCTTGGTAACAGAGGTGGCCCCAGTTGAAGACAGAAACCCACACAGGAGTTTCTTTCCACCTGGGGTGAAGGAGGCAGGAGAGAGGAGGAAAGGCATCTTGCCAAGGGAGCTTAAAGAGGGATGACACCCCGCAAGCCTGCCCAGGAGTGCCCGCTGGGAAGAGCTAAATACTGCACCCCTAGCATATGCCTCCCATGGGAAGGAGGAGGAGCCGGGGCGGAGCCTGCAACAGTTTGGTAGCCACCAGACTGTCAAGGTGTGGAAGTGTCCAGCGAACGTGCAGCCCCAGGAAACGTGCGGACGCCTGGACCGCGTGTATCCCAGGGCTGGTGTCTGCGTGCTTGGAAAACGTGGAGACTGTGGGCATTCTTAACTGGGGACACGGGATGGCTGCATCCCAGACGTGCATTAACCTGCACGGTAATTAGCACGGACATTAATGGTGGGCAGACATCACCAGCCAGTGAGCACAGCTCTGGTGAGCTTGATTTGGGTCGGACTGAGCTGTGACGTGTGCACGGGCAGGCACGCCCATGCAGCTAGTCTTTCAGGGACGTGTGTGTTTATTGAGCTGTTATTTTGTGCCCAGTGCTGTTTCTCAGTTTGGACATAAAGCTGTGAACAGAGAGGCAACTTGAGCTTAAATTTTAGGGGAAGAAGACCAGTAATGTACAAAACAAGTAGCCCCTCCAGAGGGTGGCAAAGGACACAGATGAAGGGCATAGAGATAGCGAGCCAGGGCGAGGTTTGGCATTTTAATAGGGAATAGGGTCGTTAGGAAAGGATTTAATGCGAAGCAGACACCTGAGCAAAAATGAAGAACAGGGTGAGAATCACATGTTCTTCTGGGAGGAGAACATTCCAGAAAGAGGGAAAGAAGAGCAAAGGTCCTGGGGTCGGTGGGTGCTTGGCGTTTACAAAGCTCCACAAAGAGCCAGTGCGTCCGAGTGTGTGTGGAGGGCAGTATGATGGGAGATGGGTCCAAGCAGTGACCTGGGCTATATCACGCAGGGCCCTCAAGGACTGGCTGTCACTCAGAATGAGAGGACAGCTGTGGACGGTTTGGGGCAAAGGAGGGCCACAGGTGACTTGGGTTTTTAAAGGGCTGTGCTGAGAACAATCTGAAATGGGGAAAGCACAAAACCACAAGGAGGGGACTGAAACAACTAGGTGAGGCATGGTGGCGCTTAGGCCAGGTGATATCAGCAGGGAGAAGTGTTTGCTCTCTGGCTCCATTTGAATGGTGGAGCTGGTAGAATTTGCTGAATCGAATGTGGAGTGTGAGAGAGGATTTACAAGCAATTCGATGATGGAGCTTCCAGACACAGAGCAGGAAAAGACAAAAGAGTGTGGAAGGAGGAGGCTTGCTGGGGGAGAGCTGGAGTCAGCTCAAGACGTCTGTTGGACCGCCAAGGGGAGACACCACATGTAGCTGGGTTTACATGTCTGGAGTTCAAGAGAGAGGGTCTAAGCGGGAGATGTGAATTGTGAGTCCTCCGTATATAGATGAAAGACCAGAGATTAGACACGTATAGACAGAAACCACAAGAAGACTGAAAACTGAGACCTAGGACCAAAAAAAAAAAAAGGGGGGGGGGGAACTGAAGTCCCAGAACCTACATTAAGAATGTGCTCCTAGGGGCGCCTGGGTGGCTCAGTCGTTAAGCGCCTGCCTTC